TGTATATATATACATAAAAGGGGGACGTATTGGTAAATGGCCCGCGGTGACAGGAGGGCGGCTGGTGCTCGTGGGAGAACGACGGAAACATCAGGGTGAGTCGCGGGCCGGGGGGAGGGGGGCTGGAAACGATGAAATACCATTCATTCGCCGGGAAAGCCTTCCGTATAACTTTCGCGGTCATCATCAACGGAAGAATACTTGTACCAGACGCAGGCGCTTTTCGCTCGCGTATACAAGGTGTCCCGTTTGCGTACCCGTGGATTTCTTGACTGACATTTCGGGCCGATTCTTTCCTCGGCGCAAATTCGATCGGTCAGTTCACCAAGAGAAAAATACAGTTGGAATAATCATAATTTAACTATAATTTACAGTGAATTTTGGGGACAACTATATAAAATTATAATTAATTTAACCATGCAAATTATAGCTGTTTTAATAATGCATTATGATTGTATGTACATTGTGATGGGATATTATTTTTTCTCGTTTACTTATTTTCTAATTATTATTACAATATAAATAGTAAGCAAATGTTAAAGAAAATACACTTACTATAATTGCAGTTGCGTTTACTACATAAAAATATTTATTTCATTTTTCTCATACATCTTGATATTTTATTGTATGAATATTTGAAATTATTATAATTTATAGTAAAATTTTTTCATATTTGATAAAACTATACATATAAGGTTATTATTACTAACATTACAGTAATAATAACAATAAAAATAATGCTCTTAACTATAATTTCATTTTACCAAATAATTTTTTTATACAATTATAGTTATAAATACAAAATGTTTTTCTCTCAGTGTTCGCAATGTATTACGTTAGAACGTTCAATCGTATCTCTACACGCATTAAAAACACATTTAAAATTTCGCGGAAGTATTTAGAATTAAATGAAACTCTGCATTTTTATTTGCACTTGCAGAAATGTAATTCTCGCGAGGAACGCCATTGCATTATAATTAATTGCCTGGAACGTAAAAATAATCGGCAAATCCCCCTGCCCCCTGTGACTTCGCTCGAGGGGGACGATCAAAGAATTCGCAAATGAAAGCGCCGGACGCCAGACGAAACTGGGACACTCCGTATATACGCTCCGACCTGCCTTTCGCCTCCGCAATTTCGTTCCATTAACGCGTCAAACCCCCCCTTTCGTGCTTTATTGGCGGAAACCGCAGCTTTCTGTCGCGCACAACGCAGCTTCCGGCGCTGCGACGACGGGGAGTTAATAATCGCGGGCTTTTCGGCGAATCCCTGTGGGCGCGCTGTCAAGTATATTTCTGTCGACATTTTTCGAGGGAGGATTAATTAAACCGTATGAATCCGAAACTTCCGCGTTCCATCGGGTCAAACAATTAAGCTTTGACTGTGACTTCCGACATTGAACCGTACTTAAAACAACTACAAAAACGCAGTCACTTTGCGGGAATATCGACAGGTTTCTCTCTTTTATTATTCATATTTATTTAACAAAACTTTATCTGTCATATTTTTTAATCCCTTTTATCGTTACAATTTAATGGACTTTAATCGATCACATTGCTTTCTTCATCTCTTTATTATTTTAGAAGCCTTGTCAGGAATGGAGACAACACTGTTAGAGTTTTCTGTTGTAAACTTCCAAAAAAAGTGTATGAAATTTTTATCCAACAGAATTTTGTTGTAAAATCGCAAACCAAATGTTTGATGTGCTTTTACAATATTATAATTGTGACTTTGCAACACTATTTTTATAACACTTTACACATACTACACTGCCAATGAACCGCACCATGCCTTGCGCATCAAAAGTAAAATCGCAAAATATTTTGTGTTTTTACAACATGAGTATTTTTTTTGTACAAATTGCATTATAGTATAACTTTCATTATGAAATCACTAATGTTAATCTAAATTAGTAATTTTTAAGCAAAATACTACAAGTATCAGAAATTTACTAAATTCATATGTAGTAAAAATATTGTGAAATTGCAAACATTTTTAACAGCGAAGTTTAATGCACCCTCATTCTTGCTTAACAGCAACCCCCTCTCTCCCTCCTCCTTTTTCCCCCTCTTTATTTGTCCCGCGTTTTCCCCACTGAAAAAAAGAACGCGTAATAACCGCGCGACGCGCGCGTTTCAAAGAAAATTCTATGTACGTACGTCGCGCGTGTATGCGTTTATTGTTACCCTGAAACAAGGCGTCTCCGCGCGTTGTAAATATGCTTACGCGCAGACCGTAAAGGGGAGAGACACACCACAAAGAAAGTTGGCGCGAAGAGAGCAGAGGGAAGGGAGGGGGGAGTAAGAAGGGGATGCGAAAACTGACGTTAGCTCGTCTTATAGCGCTCGTTTTATGAATCCTCCCTTCAAGCGCCTTTAAAGGGACCATCACGACCGCGGTTTTATCCCTTTCTTCCCTGAAGTTCCCCTCGCGCGCGCTTCCTCGAGGGCGAGGGGGCCGCGTCAAAGGATATTTAAAAGTCGTAGCGACGATTCGAAAGAAAGTTTTTCCTTAGAATCGCGGAACAAAGACGGTCACCGGCTGAGGCCATCGCGATTCTTCTTAACGGTATTTAAAAGATCGCGGTCGATTTGATGAGCAAGAATCATTTCTCAAGTCGCGCGATTTCTGTCTCTGTCTCTCTCTCTCTCTCACTCTCTTTCGGCAAGCAGGAAGCAACCAAGCAATGCGCTCAGAGCTCTAATTCTTTTATCCGTTTTTATCCCTTTTTAATAAATTCTATATTAATTATTATTAATTAATATAGAAAATGTATGTTATTATTATGAGAAAATTCATTTAATATCACCATCAAAAATATGATTAATAATATATTAATGTTAAAGGTATATTGATAATAAAATATTAATATTAAAAATATTAATAATGCAATATTAATATTAAAATATACGTAGAATTTTTTAATACAGCAAATAATGGAGACAGAGAATATTATTTTACCTGCACATATACATATAGAATGAGATATTAACGATTCATTTTTCATTTATTTTACGAGACCGCTATTTGTGCAGCGAATCGACCAGGCGTGTCGCGTTAAACGCATGCACGTATACTCGCGCCGTGCCGGGGAGAAAGTTAATCTTATCAGAGCTTAACTTCGTGAAAGCCAATGTAGTTTTCTGATCCCCGCATTCCCGATCGACGCAACCGGTGCGCGCACCGATCGTGGGGTTTAAACCAGTTGATTCTCTCAAGCTCTCTCTCTCTCTCTCTCTCTCTCTCTCCCCGCTTATCGCGGGGCACAAAGCGATTTGCTTTTTGCTCATCGAGATCGAGTGCGCGTCCAACGGCCGGGAGGGGGGAGTGCTCCTCGTTCGCGAATTCTTGGCCGGAGTGGCTGCCGGAATTCGCAGCCGTGATCGCAGTCGAGCATCGCGATGCGGCCGCATCCCCCATTGCATCCCGAACGTGCACACGTACGCACACGTGCTCGAACATGCACGCCGCATAATCGAAATGCGCTGTTCTCGAGCCTCTCTCTCCCTCCTCGGCTTGTTCCTCCTCCCCCTTCCTCCTCTCCCTTTTGTCTGTACCCTCCCCCCTCTCCCCTCCCCTCCCTCCCCTGCTTCCTCGGAGTAAACGAGCGTCCTTAATAATGCGCAAGACTGATTCTACTTCGGATCAAAGGATCCTATCCGCATTCGATCGCCGCCATGTTAAGCGGCTCAAGATGGATATGGAAATTCCGACGGGAGGCCGGTTTAATGGATCACCCTATATTATTCCGCGAATTCCTGGCGCGTATCTCCGTCTGAGACGGTACACGGTCTCATCTACCCGCTCCGGGAAGACTTCAATTAAACCGTAGAACCGTATATAGAACCGCTCGAGATCGATATCTCGCGAGCGATCGTTACAGCGATTATTAATATTACTCGATTAACATCGGCCGCCGGGGCGGGATCGGCTGCAGCTCGAGAATATGAATATTGAAATATTTTTCAAAGTGCATTACATTTTTAATAACTACATTTTTAATATAATACGGATAAAATCGAAATATACGGAAATATACGAGAAGTTTGTTTTCCGTAAACGGTCGGTTTTTTTTTTTTAATAATTATGTTGAAAACACGATACGGAATATTGAAAAGTAATATACTGTAAAGGTAATACACTGAATTTTTATGTATTTTTATCTACGGCTATTGCTAAATTGAAAATAAAATCTGCTGCACTACTCAAAAGCCGATAAAGTCAGATTTTTCATTAATTTGCATCTCAATTACGTTGATATACTTTTAAAGGAGAGGAGCGCGACGGTCAAAGGGCGCGTGATTAAATTAGCTTTCCGAATGCGAGATTGGAAATTCCATCGGGCCACTTGGGTTAATTGTACGGGCGCGTTCGTCCAATTTCTAATTCAATACACGACGACTGTGTCCTCGCCCTCTCGTCTCGGCACGTACGCATTATTACATTTCGCATGAGCCGGAGATGCCGCGAGTGCTGCACGCTGAGATCGCATTCACGTTGATTTCTTTAATTGCACGACGACCGAATAATTGATGATTAAAACTTCCGTCATCTCCCGCCGTGTAGAATTCAGAATACGCAAACTGAATCTTGGTACCTTGTAGGTAGATTTCGCGATTTCATTTTCGAAAGTTAAACTCTGCAAATTCGCACAATGAAATGTGATTTAAACGTTAATTTAAATTTAATTTACAATGTCATCAGCACGTTTAACATACACAAGTACACGTATAATACGTACACACACACACACACACACACACACACGCGCGCGCGCGCGCGCGCGCGTGTGTGTGTAATACGTATAACGGACTCTAAATCCTAAATATTATATCACAGTTTCCGAGTATCATGTTTCTATTGTACCGCACAAATTATGGTCAAATATTATATTACATTTTCGTCTGCATTCTGTGTCGTATTGTAGTATTAATATATATATATATATATATATATATATATATATGCATGTACATATATATGACTCCCGTGTACTCTAGGTGACCGTGGACCTGGGGAAGGACGCGGAATTTCAATGCTCCGTCACCGGCCAGCCGCATCCGGTGATCACGTGGGCGAAGGACGGCCTGCCCGTGCGGGAGGGTTCGTCCGGTAGAAGCAAAGTCACGGGTAACGACGGCTCGGCGTTGCGTATATCTTCCATCGTGAGAGACGACAAGGGGATGTACCAGTGCTTCGCCAAGAACGACTATGAGATGGTGCAGGCCACGGCCGAGTTACGTTTGGGAGGTAAAACTCGATTCATCCCCCGATTCCGACCCCCCGTGTCCCCGCGATTGTCGTGTAATATTATAAAAATCAGCGCGCACTACTTCATTGGACTGTGGTGCACGTCGAAATGGAATAAAAGGCACCTGTGACGTCAAACGGAATGCGGATCGCGCTTAATAAATCGCGGCAAATTAAATTAACGTTAGTTAAGTAAAAAGTGTACTTTCCATCATATAGCACAAAAAGAGTGCAGAAATATTTTATTGCAAGATTGCAACGTTGAAAAAACGTTGTGAAATGTTACTGCAATATTGCTGTAACATTGTAGCTATGGTAAAATGTTACTTTTAGAAATATTGTATTGCAATATTGCAACAATATTACGACATATAATGTTTTCTGATAATATTTTAGATGTGCCGTTACATTAACATTTTGGCATATACATGGTCTGTCCCAAAAGTAATGAGACTATTTTTTGTGTCCCAATCAGAATTGTCGGAGGGTGGATCCATTGGACGGGGCCTTTAGTGCAGGATGTCAGGTAAAAATCTGACCCCTCTTAGTTGCCTCCAAGCCTTTCTAACACGTCAGTAAAGCCTTTCGATACCGTCAGTAAAGTATCTTGCCACGGGTGAAAATTCAGCAGTCTCAAGCAGCGATCAAATTCTGCGTGAAACTGGGAAAATCTTGTTCTGAAATGTTGGAGATGCTGCTTTGTCTTCAAAATTTGATCACATACCTAACGCTGCTCAAAATACAGCACAGTCTGTCTTGAATTTTCGCCCGTGATAAGACACAAAAATTACAACACACTTTGCCGATGTATTGACTGCTAGAAAGTCTTGGAGACAACTGAGAAGGGTCAGATTGTATATCTAACATCCCGCACCAAAAGCCCTGATCTACAACCCGGCAATTTTGATTGAGGCTTCAAAAATATTAGTCTCATTACTTTTGGGACAGACCATGTATATCTCCCAGAAATATATATATCATATACACTTCTTCAATTAATTCTCACACAAAAGAACAAAAAATTGTACTTTCAAAATACATTTTGTTTATGTTCATCTTTGAACCCTTTGGAGACTCGGCTTTTCAAGGTATATTCCATTAGAATGTGGGTGAAAAGTTTCATAATACTGCGCCTTTTATTCCATTTTTTGTGATTCTCTTTTAGTTTTTTATTTACAAAAAGTAGAACTCTTCCGTGTCCATTCAGTGGCGATGCCGCGTATTACTCGCAACCAACCTCGGAGGACGTTATATTTCATTATATTTTTGAAATGTTGTTACAACATTGCTGAATAATGAATAAAAATTTGCAAAAAAGAATCTTTGCAATATCTCTACAACATTGCATTGCAATATGCAATGTTGCAACGTTACAACAATGTTACTGCAAGCTTCTGATCTATATTGAATTATGATACATTTTACCATAAGTAGAATTAAAACTCATTAAATACTTGAACTTAATGCATGCTAAGTAAATTTTGATCTTTGCTAATTGAATAACTAAGATATTCTGATTACGTACGCGAATGCAATATGTTCAATCGTTTATATTTTAGGGTAATTGTCCCTATTGGTGTGCTTTTATATTTAAATAAGTCATAAAAATAAACTGGAGCAAATATTTAGACAAAGTATTTTTTTATTAAGTTAAAGTATTAACTTAAAAAAAAATACTTTGTCTATTTATTTGTACTTTATAAAAAAAAATACTTTGTGTATTTATTTTTATTACTTATTTAAATATAAAAGCACACTAATAGGGACAGTTACTTTATTTCTATATAACTCAATTTCTAATAATCTTCTTCGAATCTCTGCCTTTCGCTCGAGACACAAAAGTCGGGGGATATTCTCGAGATATTGTAGGCCGCGATATTGTAGTTGTATTGTAGTGTATTTAAAACACTACACGCGCGAGCACGTCGGGATGGATTAGCGTGAATGCGAGCGAGCTGCCGCGCAACTTCGCCAAAGTTTTATGAAAGTTCCCTTCCAGGAAATAATAAGGCTAAATTAAGGCTATTAACCGGTACACCATTAACCGACGATGGAAGACTCTATTGCCAAAGTTTTGTCTCCTCGCCTCCTCTTTTTGCGACCTTTTGCAGCTTTTACTGGTCGCTCTACAAAGCTCCGTTGAGCACATAGATGCCTCGGAAGCCGTCTTATTACCGCTACTAAACGGCGAACGTATTTTTAATTATGGGTGACGTTCATTCACGGCACACCAATTAAGCTATTATTATTCAATTACGCGCGAATATACGACGAGGAGCACGGAAGGATAACGATTAGTCAATTTATGTCGAAGTACAGTCGCAGCTAAACGATAAATTATCAATTTATTTCAATTATTTCTTTATTTCTTTTATGCTACCTGAACTAATTGTTGCGAAAAGGATACTGTTTATCTTGAGAATCAGGAAAATCTCCACGGATTAAGTACCGAAATTGCCGCCCAAGTTCAAAATTTCCCATATCCGAAAGAAATTGGAGGCAGGGAGTTTCGGGAGACGTACGTGTATCGTTTCTCTCCTGGCTCCGTTGTTAGCTAAGTTCTCGTTCAATAGGTACAATTGCCACTGCGAGTCGATTGTTCCTAGGGTTCAAACGTTTCTCGTGAAACGAATATCGACGTGTTGTGCCAGTAAATTCACGTACGAATCGACGAACGGAAAATGAGGGCGCGAGAGCTTGGAGAACCCCCGACCGCGGCCGGAGAGATTGACGGGAGCGAGGCGAAGAAACGTGGCCTCGGGTACAAAAAGGGGGGTGGGAGGGAGGGAGAGGGGTTGAAAGGGAAAGAAAAAGCGGAGAAATGCTTAACGAGGGCGATGCATAATGGAGAAAGGAGAAATCCACTGGCCCGCCGGCGTGCCGCGAAATAAATACGTGCCATTTGTCTTAGTCAGGGGGTCGGTCGGCCGTAGAGAGAATGGAAGGGGGAGGATGGCCGGCGAAATGGGAGCGCGAGCGAGTATCGCGCGCGCTTCGCGAACGAAGACGCGCGAGCGGAGACGAATGGCGACTGGACGAATATTCCGCCGCCGTCGTCGTCGTCGTCGTCTTCCGTCGTCGTCTCCGTCTTCTCGTCGTCGTTGTCGCCTTTAAAACGGCTGAGACGACGGGCGGCGTTTTCCGCGCGACATAATCCATTACCTTAAACGACCGCTGTCGCTTTCTCAACCGTCTTAAGATGCCTGCGCGCACGAAGCGAGCGAGAACGAATGCGAGCCCACGGACCTTCACATTAGTTCCCGCCGTCTCCGGCTCGTTTGGATTAAAAGGATTATAAATGAAGATGCTCGGCTGATATATATATATATATATATATATAAAGCCAAGGCTGATATTGGCGGAACAAGGAGAATTTGTATAGCGTATTTAAAACTGCGTAGTGATCCTCTCCCCCAAATCTCCGAAAACTCCTCCACTTGCGCTCTCCAAACTTCTATTCTACTACGAGGGTCAGTTAAGAGGTCTCCCTATTACTTTTTCTCTCAACTCTCCCAAGAAACGATTCTGAAACGGATTCCTCGAGCCTGAGAAACTTTTGTTTGTGCTGGCAACATTGTGATTTTTGAAAAGGCGCACAGATGTGCACGACGAGCAACGGAATGGAAGACTTTCCAAAAATCTTGAGCATCAACAACGAATTATTTAAATGCTCATGCATTCTCTCTCTCTCTCTCTCTCTCTCTCTCTCTCTCTCTCTCTCTCTCTCTGATCGGTTCATCAGGATTGAAGATCGTGGTCTCCATTTTTTATGCGATCACATGGGAGCGCCTGGAATTCCACCGATTTCTGTCAGCTATTCTTATCGCAGTATAAAATTTAGATGTCTTATTTTCTTTCTTCATTTTCAGTTTGACGATTGAAGGAATAACATCGTTATTTACGAATGGAAGAGGTCTTTGTTGCGTAATTTAGTTTCTTTATTAATGATGTATTTTATTTAACAATTATTGTATATCGACCACGATTTGATCCCTGTTTTATCTTACTGTATTTTACAACTCCTTGCGAGCATTTTTCTTCATATTCACCACGTGGCATCGTAACCAACGTGGAATATACACTCGAATTTATTCATACTTTGACTGACTCCCGCATTGAGTTTCTGATGTATTTTGACAAAGACACACTGATGATGGCTCGAAGAGGAGTCGAAATGTTTGGATACTTAATTTTTTAATTTGTATGTAAAATCTCATTACTATTAAAGAGATAATTTGCGCCTCAATAACTGCGCTTAACTCTCATTTGCTCGTTTTTGTTTGTCAATTTTTTTTTTTCAATTTGTCCTATCTAGTTGAAGAGATCGACTTCGTGCTCTCTTGCCTTCGACGCTATCCACAATAACTAATTTTCCAAGACTCTCCCTACGTCTGATTATAGCCGAAATAGGATAGTATAAGTCAGTGGCGCATGATGGACCGTCAGTCTTTTATTCCGAGAGGATGCATTAGTACGTTTAGCGGTACACGGTACCCGTAGAAAGAAGCAGGGGAGAGAGAGAGAGAGGAGAGCGTTTTTTTCCATAAGCTTCAATTAATTGGCGATGGACTTTCCGGTGCACTTTTATTTTTTGTCGTCAAACTCAAATGATCACCCGCACTCGAAAACGCTAAGCATTAATGTCTCCATGGCTACAGGGAGCAAACACACTGTTAAATCTACAGTGTTAAACTGAACCTTATTTAAGTCGCCAATGTTCCTACTTAATAAATAGTTATTTTTTACTAAAACAATGGAGTTAAATAATTTAAAACAGTTCAAATTTAACCCAAATTTGGGTTAAATTTCATTATTTTATTTAAAAATAACTATGTTTTAGTTAAAAATAACTATTTGTTAAGTAGGAGTAGTGGCGACTTAAATAAGGTTCAATTTGACACTACAGATTTAACAGTGCACTCTTAATCATGTATCGCCAAAAATTGGAAGTACACGTTAAAATATAAACCCTACGTAATTACGAGGGATATAAGTATACC